GAAGGACTGGAATCGAACCCTGGACCTCTGCAATGTGAAGCGGGTGTGCTAACCAGTCGACCACCAGCCCCCCCCCCAAGTTAATTTGGGTTGAAATAATTAGCAGTTCTTCAAATTATTTCCCACATCCTATGCAGGTTAGAAATGATGTATTATTATTGCTAGGATGGAAAGGGGCCCCAATGATTGAATGCAAAGTTAGCAAGATTTTAGTTGTCCATCAAACTAATGAAAATATTAGGATAAGTAAACTGCGTGGAGAGGGAAGAGCTGTTTTCCCACCTGTCAGCTGCTGTATGCAGAGCTATTTCTGAGAGGAAAACAAAGAGACTGTAAATCACTAAATCCCTTAATTCAACAATTTGGAAGCGGGCCATTGCAGCGTGTGAAGGAACAACAGAGGCCTGTATGTCACTACATACATGCACATGTTCTTCCATGCCAGTGTCTCTCTTTGGCATGGCCTCTTGGTCAAGAAGTTATGCCTGTGCTAGCTCACTTGCTGTCATACAACACCCTCTTGAATGTGAATGTAGATGCATGCAAGTGTGTGTGTGTGTGTGTGTGTGTGTGTGTGTGTGTGTGTGTGTGTGTGTGTGTGTGTGTGTATGCGTGTGTGCGCGGTGGCTCAGAGCATAAACAGAAAATTTCTGTACAGTCATGTAGGTGTGTTCGGAGGTGTATGACAATCTTCTGGTATTCAGCCGTCCAATTCCTCTGCCTGTTGTTTAATTGAGTGCACTGATGGCTGACAAGGTGTGCAGTAACGTGTCTGTCACCTTCGTCTGGCTGTCAATAAGACAGCAGATTTGCCAATGTAGCAGCAATGTAAAGTAATGCAGTAAATGTGTTTGACTTGAACAGAATAATCCAAAATGAAATTGGATGGAATGGAATCGAAACAGCGCGCCAAGAGACAATCTAGAGGAGAGCTGGTCTGCATGCATTTATATGCATTGGTTTGATAGCGAACAGGGTTTTGTGCAACACACAGGTTGGCCAAATTCAGTGACATGAAATAACCTCGATGTGATGTATGCATAATATTTACAAGCCTTATTTCCCGTTTTGCTTTTGTTTCGTTTAGATTTGAACCATGATCCATTTATAAGGCAGTTAACTCAACATTAGATGTTTTATGTCAAGCCGAAATGTAACCAATGCATTACGGCCATGACACCTTAGGTCTCGACGTTTATGGGTGTCGCACATGATGATAGTTCGAACACCATTTCTGAGGCACGTTTTTTTTTTCCCAGAACAATTTTCAATGCATTGATTTGCCTTTTTTTCTTTCCACCAGAGGTTGTCCCTTAAGGTTAGTTAAAGTTTGATTAAACAGACTTTTGTCCCAGCTGTAAAAGAGTCATTCAAACACTGATGTGGGAAGTCATTTGTCAGAGATGGTCCAAACAAACTTTTATCACAAATTTGTGCTTCATTATATATTGTCTATGTCAGATTAACTCCCGAGCTAATTTTAAACTGACTGACAGAATAACCCGACCAACAAAAGCACCCCGCAGGAACAAATCACTAGTCCCAGTTCCACCCTGTGCCCAGCAGAGCACGTCTGCGGCCGACACCCATTTCCCCTTCAGGCGGCGCATGTCATGCGGCCATCCCATGTTCCCCGTCACATCGAACCCCGTCCATGTCCATGTTGAGCGGAGCCATGTCCATGTGCCCGTTTGAACTGAGTGACGTCCACGTCAGGCCGAGCCCAGCCATTGGGTGACTGTTTCGGACTTCTGGGATCAGTCCCTTGAGGGAGGGGCACTGTCATGGGTGATTTGTTTGGGACCAACAGGTTGCTCTGTGGGGCTCCTCCTACAGCGGCACACCTGTTGGTCATCATGTCACTTTCTGTTAAAAGGACTCCCGGCCCGACCACTCGGTGTCGGGTCATTGTTGCTGTTTCTGTTGTTGTCACTGCTTTCGTTGGTTTGTTTTTATCACATCATATTTTTTTTTGCTTATGCCATAGGTTTTGTTGTCACTTTGAATTCTTGTTGTTTTCAGGACTTTGCTTGTTTTGGATGTGGTTTTCTCAGTCTTTGATTATTACATTTTGTCAAGCTCATTCTGCTCCTCCCTCTTGCCTGCTTTTTGGGGTCCACCACCACCCCCGCACCGTGACAGTGACATCTTTAGATGCAATGAGCCCTGATCTTCTAATGAACTGTAGGTGTCTGGATGAACACCGGGGTTTTCAGTCGAGCTGACAAGCTGACAAAGTATTTGATTGGGTGGGCTTGCTGTCACCATGAGAGATACTCGGCCCTCAAGTGGCCTCAAATCTGCTTGATGAGCTGAGCTTTAATAGACTCCTCTTCTACCGTGCATCAATTTTCTTCTACTTGCCTGCGCACACAACACGATGGATGTGTGATACTTTCACCCCCTGAAAGTTTGTGTGAAATGAACAGGAGCACCTTGTCTTGCTTGCTACAATGTCCCTTCCCTCTGGCACTTTTTGGGTCACTGTCACAATTATATTCCCAAATAAATACATTGCTAACCACTGCTTGGCTAGGATATAGTGGCACACAAAAAAATGATATTTTACAGAAACCAAGAATTTTTGTGAGCACTTTTCTCACGTCTACGGATGTGGCAACTATTTGCAAACACGTCAGCCTTTAAGCCAGCATCATTGTTGCTCCTCATTAAAATGTTTTCAGCATTTAGGTGATTTGGTACTGTTGTTTGAAAAATGGACTGTTTCTGTTTTTAAGCCAAAAGCACTTATTAATTGCCTTATTGCTTCAATGCATGTTTAGAGTTGCTGTCAGCCTGAAAACACACACACTAATTGGTTTTATTTTTTTTTTTTTTTTTTTTTTGGGGGGGGGGGGGGAATCATAAAAAAATTTAATTGCCTTCCTGTCTCAGATTGCTATTAACAGCTAGGTACAGTATGTTGGTAGACAAAAAAGATAGCCAAGTCAAGTCACGTGTGTATATTTACAGTCAAAGGGCTTCACGGGCCCACAGTTTACACATGTTAACGACATCCCCTGATCTAAATAGTGACAAATGAAAACATTCTGCATTCAGTTTTTACTTCTGTTTAACACAACGTCCCATCTTCATTGGAATTGGGTTTGTGTGTGTGTGTGTGGGGGGGGGGGCGCACTACTACATGTATGGACACACAAACATTATACAGATTATACATACGAGATGTGTGTGTACATGTACAAAATTTAAAAAAAAAAAAAACATAAGGCACACTGTCCGAAAAGCCTTTTTATTTTTTTTATTTTATTTAAGTATTCTTTTTATGAGAGCTCTCGATTTGGACACATCTCATCTTAAAACAGACAGCACTGACAGACAAAATAGAGTGAACATGGTAACATATATTAATGAGAACAGCACAGAAATGATACAATTTGAATTAGTTTGATCAAATCTTGTATTGTCCACAGAAGCATCGTGTTTGTTTTTCACCACTGATGTTGTCGAAGGTGGAAAAACAGTTTTGGTGGAGAAAAGAAATTGGAATTCAGTGAGTGAGCGAAATAGAGGGAGAAGGTGTCATTATTAAGATTGGGTTGTGGGAGGTTGGGGCGGGTGTGGGGGGGGGGGGGTGGAGACATTGTGGCTTCATGTCTGGATGTGTGTTGCCACCCGATGGCCGCGGTGGGTAACAACGTTATCCAGACAACCATGTCGTTCATTTGTTGTGGAATAAGAACAGGAAATAATGGGCTCAGAACTCACTGAAGTAAAGCACTTTTATCACTTGAATCACTTGGGGAGACAGACTAGCTCAGGGTAGCGGCAGGGAGAAGAAACAGGCACAAGAATACCTTCCTAAAATCTTCAACCGGGTCTTGTATAAGAGCTGGTCGGGGGCCGTAACAAAGACACAAACACCTTCTGCCATTTATTTCACTACACTTAATTGACCTTGATGATTGTGTGAAAAGAGAATACAAAAATAAATAAATTATGAGCAGAGCATGTTGATATGCATATGACGCAAACAAACACTTGGCACATCTCGTCAACTGAAAGCATAATGACATTTTGTAAGCATGTCGCAGTGTACCCGGACACTAAACATCAGCACCTCTAAGTGCAATTATCGCTACATTGTCTCAGTAACTGTCAGAAAGAGGAGAAGAAATAAACTGAGATCTTGTGAAACCAATGGGTTTGTTGTTATTAAAACACACTAAGATGTTCATCAAACTTTTATGGCCTAGTTTGCAACAGCAATAATTGCGCTGGGTTCTGGCAGAATAAAGGGATTTAAGTCAGTCAAGGGAGTGTTTCTTTTTATGTTGCTTGGCCGTTTCAGATGTTAGAAATGGAACCTTATATTAACTGTTGTTTGCCAAGTATATTTGAAGGTTTGAACGTATTTGAGAGTAAAACAATGATGTCTTCAAGGCATGAAAAGAGGGTGCAAAAACAGATAAATAAATCAGGCGGCCTGGGGGTTCAGTGGTTAGCGCGTCGACCTCACAGTGCAGAGGTACCGGGTTCAATTCCATCTCCCGCCTCCCTATGTGGAGTTTGTATGTTCTCCCCCGGCCTGCGTGGGTTTTCTCCGGGTACTCTGGTTTCCTCCCTCATTCCAAAAACATGCACCGCAGGCTAATTGAACACTCCAAATTGTCCCTAGGTGTGAGTGTGAGCGTGGATGGGTGTTCGTCTCTGTGTGCCCTGCGATTGACTGGCAACCGGTTCAGGGTGTTTCCCGCCTACTGCCCGAAGACAGCTGAGATAGGCTCCTGCACCCCCGCGACCCTAGTGAGGATAAAGCGGATCGGAAAATGAATGAATAAATAAATAAATCTGTGGTATTGGAATGAAAAACGCTTTTGGTGTCATTTTATTTCTATTGAAATATGGTTCAGTTAATGTACAGTAATGTAGAAGCATTTAGCTGATTAGCGTATCCCACCACTAGTAAATCTAAAGCACGTGGCTTTAAAGTGCCACTTGGATGGGCTGAACATTGGTACTTAAAATAGGTCTTGATATGAAAATGTTGTCAGCATTAAATTCAAGCCCCTAAAAAAACTCCCGAATTGGAATTCCCATTTTTGGAGAGTGGCTTTCCCCCACACCTGTCTTACGTGCGTCATGATGTGTTTCGTTCGACATGTACTGTATCTGCCTCCGCAAACAGGGTTGATTCTGCTTTTCCCATCCTGCTTTCCTCAGCTTTGTACCTCTGTAACCACTGCTGTTATAGATGTTCTCTGTGTGCACCAAAGAAATAACCATAACAGAAACCATCAAAGAATTACTTTTCCCTCTGCTTGATTGTGACGACAGAGGAATGTTGAATGGGGATGCTCTTTTGGTGAGCATTCTATTCAGACATCAAGATGAGGTGAACTCAGGCATTGCTTTTGACATTTCAATCCCACTGCAACGTTTCAACACTTATTTTGTCTAAATCCTATGAATAGAGTGAGAAATAAGTCCCATGATTAAATCTTACAACAAGAAAGTTTCTTCACATGCTTCACAACAAAAGGCGGATCTGTGAATGCTTTTGCGATTTCTTAAAAGGAAGGAAGAACCATGAAGAGAGCATTTATTCTTCAGTGCAGCCTTTAAACCTATAATTGTCACCCACGGCCCTTTTCCACCACGCTTGTGCTAATGCTAGTTCTGGGCCAGTGCACTGGTTAGCACCAGTTCTTTCTTTTTTCACCACCGAAATTGTCTCTAGCTGCTTTAAACTGGAGCTTAATATGACCCCAATTATTTGTTGGGCCAGACTTTGGTACTACCTATGTCAGGGGCGGGGGGCGGAGTTATCATGACGATGACAGATGGAGAGGTTTGACTCCCTGGAAACATGAAAGTTTTGCACAAACTCTGGAGCAGTGAACTCCTGCACAGTTGTGTCCCACCAGAAGAGCGAACGCAGATGTAACCAGATAGAATGCGATGTCTGACTCGTAGCCAGCCTCGTGATCATCTACAAGGTTTCAGAAAGATCTAAGCGTTTTCCTATGTTGATTGTAAACATTGCCACAAAAATAGGTCCGCGATTCATATTCCAGTAAAATCGTCAATGTATTCTGGATCATGATGAATTTGCAGGGGGCAGGGTTAAGTTGAAAACCTTTTCGAATTGCAATCTGGGGTGGAGTCACAACAATATTTGATACTGTAATCAAATGTTTCTCTTATGCATGTATGCAAATTGAATGGACTAATACGTGTTGACCCACGAAATAAAACTCCTCCGTAAAACCCTATTACTGAAAGACCACCTGCAGTCACACAATCTTCTACAGTGTGGAGATACACAAAGTCCGGTTCCTCTTCGTGTGTGCGTGTTCCGTCCATGTGAATGCGTTTTCCCCCTGCTGTGGATAGTTAGCCATACCTTCAAGCTGCAATTGTCACACTGCTGCCTCCATCATCATGGTGATAGAAAAAAGTCAAGGTGGGATAAGGCAGCCACCCGAGGGGATGAGCAATGAGGAAAAAAAAAAAGTTTATTTTTTTATTTCATTTCATAAAATGGCATTGCTCCCAGCAGCAGAGGTGGGCATTCTGTCAGTACTGACGCAATGCCCACCTCTGGACAGTATCCCCTGAAAGAATTAATACAACATTGCCACCTTTCAAATAAATCATTTACTATTTTCCAAAATTACACATGCTGGCATGAGCCAAGCTCAGCCTTATTTCTTTGGGAATGCCTTTTTTTTTTTAATTGCGTGCTTATACTGGATCTCACTCGATTGTGGCAAAATTAGGTGAATACATTGCCCTCACATGTATGTATATGGATACTTAATGGATGGATCGAAAGGGATCAAATAATTTTTGCTTTTGCGCTGAATCTATGAATTTGTACACAATTTCTTCATCCAAATCAACATGCCAACAGTGGATTCTTTACTTTAAAAATGTATCTTAGTCTGCTCATTAATTCCTTTTGTCCCTCCCAGTTTGGATGATCTGCAAATTAACTTGTTCATGTTAATCTTGCATAAAAATGATAATCCAAAAAGGAAATGCAATAAAATAATTATCATATGAATTCTGCTTCCTCATGACATTTGGTGTGTCTTTTCTGTGTAACAGCAATACAATGAAGTCATAATGTGTTTATAACTGCTTTACCATGACATACCTGTCAACTTTTCGGAGCGCCAACCTGTATAAACTACCAAAAAAATCCTTATAAAGAGCAAAAAATCCTTATAACATACCAAAGCATTTTATATGTCAAAATAACGGCAGAAAAAAACCCACGAAATATGAATGATATATTTGTTTCCTTGTAGAACTTGCTTGTACACTACCGAAGTATGCAATGAATACGCTGCTGTTTTCAACTAGGAACCACGTGATTTACTGGAAAGTTACCGGAAATGAAAGGATTCGAGTAGACTAGGACCATTCTGGGCAAAAGCAAACGGAACTACATGTTAGGGGGGAACGGAAATTTTCAGAATCCGTATGATTTGTGCGATATGGCCATATACGTAAGATTCACCACAAGATCCGTATGAACTATGGCTGAACCGTGTGAGTTGACAGGTATGCCATGAGGAGAAAAGGCTCATGGCCTGCATTAGTTCTGTTCGCAATGGTGACTTGCATTCATTTTATAATGCACAGGTGGTGAAAGATTGAAGCTGGGCCTTGTCAGAATCGCTTATCCGCAGGACCGAATCGGGAAGCAGTCCTGATCGACTCGCCCGAACCCCCGTTTATGGTTCGCCCCCTCCTCACTGCAACGCAGGACAGCGGGGGAGACGGAGGTTCTATTTTTCATACGAGTCGATTACGAAAGAGATACGGCTAGGTTCCTGACTGCCTTTGATTTCACAAAGGCAATCCAATTTCACCTTTGCTTATTTTTAACTCTAATAAGTAACCGAGAATTAGAGGTTCATAAGCGACCGCTTCGTTTTAACGACGGCTCTCTTTCGGTTTTTATATCTGCTGTTATTGTATAGTTAGTAATTTAATAATCCTTGTCAGGATCATTCAGATTTGTTTCTTTTATTTGTTACGCCGGAGTAAACTATTTTTAATTAACTATTTATTTTTCGAGACGGATCACACGGCCCGGTGTTAGTGAGCACGCAACCTTTCATTCATCGACGAAGGTTGAGTGGTGATATGAATTAAATCATAAAAATAACTGAGGGTAGACGATGTAATGAACTTTGACACATTTATTAATATGACAATTATTGTAAAACATGCATTAATCAACCATTGTAGCCGCAAGACTCGGAATACTATCGTCGACAACAAAAACATTGTTTGAATGGTATTTTTCAACTTAAAATCAAATGAGAATAATGTCACAACACACAGCAATTATAATGATAATGAGAGGAGAGAAAGATTAAAAAAACGATTAAAAATGAATAAGTGAGTAAAAATGATTACAAGAATAAAAATGAATCAATGAAATAAGCACCTGTCTATCATCATTGAGGGTGTCAAGATTGATCAAGTCTTCAGCGCCCAGTGATTTAACTTATTAATTTATATAATTATATTTTTGTACCATTTTAATACTTTCTATTTTTACATTATCCGGTTAACAATTTTGGGTTAGAGACATTTAATACATACGATTGGCTTGTTTCTTCCGACACGCGAGAGTAGTATATTGTCTATGTCTCCTTACAGATACAACGGCTTCATAATAACTGAGGTTAGTTGGAATAAAACAGAGTATTAGAGAAAAGCCACCCCAATACCTGTATTCGAGTTGTGCCAGTTGAATGTAATATTGGATTTCTTGATAAGGAGTCATCTTCATAATCCTATTCTCGTCAGGTACCGGAAATTGGGGATCCGGACTGACAGGGCTTCGCCCTGGCCATCCCATCCTTGCCCCTCCGAACTGCGGTTTTTATAGCTTTGAAGAGGCAACTGCAGTCACGTCACCCTACAGCTGGTCCGGGTTATGCAAAGGACGTTTCCTGTTCAAAGCTATTTTTTTCCTTCAAAGGGCACAGTGGCTACTTTCACTTCTAGCTGACCTGGACTTTCCACAGCTGTGCATTCTGGCGTCCTGCCAAACCCCTCACAGCTGTTCTATTTTAGTTTGGTACTTTCCGTACCTTTTTTGGGGCGCTTTGACTTGTGATCTCTCCTCAAGTCAATGATAGACATCATGCACACAATCTATGTAAGAATTCAAATCACATATTAAAATCACATCTAGGCAGCATTTAAAAAAAAAAGATATCATGTTTGCACAATCATGTTGATCCATCATCTCCCTTGCAATCAACAGGTTTTTGATCTTGTCAGGTTGTTCATCAAGAGGCATCATTTGGGAGTAAATAACGTTCTCCGGCAATAATGTATACACCAAGCAGTTTCAAAGCGTTTGTTATCACAACACACAACTATTCTAAATTAAATGAATGATACCATGTTGTTATTTTAATACAACATTCAAGAAAGAAAGAAAAATAGTAATCATAAAACAACAGTTAACAGTAAACTCTGTAAAGCTGTGTAATCCAGTTGTAAAGCACATTTTATGCATTACTCTTTGTAAAACATTCGGCATATTTTAAAGGCATTGACTTAGGTATGTTCGAGTTAATCATATTTAATTTGTTTACTCTGGAAATGGACCTGTTGCGAGCTGGCGAGTGCTCAATGGACAATTTGTTCTGACGTCATCTAGCGGTCAAATTTGATAATGCATTCTTAGGCTGCATTTGGGTCTAGTTTTTAGCCCAGTTTCATATTTAACTTTTTCAGTTGTACCAACACTCGTACCATGGAATGAATGGAGGAATCAGGCGCGTCGGCTGGAGAGACCGGGGGCATCAGAGAGGGCGGCTGGCCTGGGGAGGGGGGAACGGAGAAGCTGCCAGGTGCTGGGGACCAGCGGTCCGCCATATCCAGGGAGGCAGCCCGGATTATACTGGGTCCAGGAGACCCTCGCTCAGCGACCCGGTCCGGCTGGCGTCCTCCAGTTGCAGCAGAGCCACTCCGGAACTCCTCCGGTGGTGGCCCTGCTTTTGGCCCGGCCGCGACGCAACATCCATCGGTTAAGTGGAAGGTCTGCTCCGTCAGCTAGCCGCCAAGTCATTCGGAGCAACGGATCAAAGTGGCCCAGTATCCGGCCATCTTCTACTATCATTAGTGGCATTTGAGGGTGACCTTCAGTCACCCGAATCAAGGAACTGCTTCTCGCCAGGTCAGCAAACTCCCAACAAATCCAGGTCGGAGTAAATGGAGGGCGGCCTTCATGCTTCCAGGAAATTCCTTCAGGTACAAGCCAAATCTCACTTGATTGTCGTACAGGTGAAGGAAAACAGCAATGGCCTAGGAAGGTGGTCCCGAGGACCCAGGTGGACTGAAAATCGCCAGATCCACAGAGGACCCACTGCGGTTCGGTCACCTCCTGTAACATACACAAAGTCAACGTAGCCTTTCTATGTTCGATTATGTATCAGGGCCCGAGTTATCAACTCGAGCCTGCTTATTCATTCCATAGTTAGCCGAAGCATTGGTACCAGAGCCAATTTCTTTGAGCGAGAAGGTCGCTCTGCTACGCGGGAGTAGGGGTGTCGACACTCGCCAAGTAGCAGCATTCCGAGGTGGGAGGGTAAAAAAGGCTGAATAAGTAAAAAAAACAGACAATCAACACGAATTGGTCAACCATTTTTAGCCAAAGTAGTACCGATATAACTCCCCATATCACACCCCCCCCCCCCATGTCACTAGTTGTAGGAATTATCCAAACTCTCCCTCTGTCCCTGCTGGATTTCTTTGGAGGCGAGAGACAAGATACATAACGCATACGGCCATGATTATTGTAAGTATACCCTCTATTATCACCGTTCCATAAATGACCTCGACGGTCCTCAACGAGGACATGTCCATTATTGCCCAACATACAAGTAATAATGTTTCTGCTACCCCAGTTGGTGTTTAGTAGGCAATAGTAATTCAGCCATGCATGTATACTACGAAACAAACCCAAGCCTAATGTGTGTGTGCAGTACACGAACCGTAGAACTCGAACCTTTGTTACCGAAGCGAGTAAGATGATCAGTCGTGTAGGCTGATGTAAATACCACTGGCCGGTACAGCAATGGCATAACCATATCACAACAATCATCCAATATTCTAATTCATTACTCATGTCTTTCAAGGCACCAGGTCATCCGTAATTGCTGTTAGAATTGTTATCACAAGCCATGGTTCCATAAAATTTTACCTTCCCACCAAGGAGTGTAAGCTGTTGTGAGAGAGCCGGGGACCCTTCTGAGACTTCCGCCTTGGGTCGCTGGCTCCACTTGCTTCTTCCATTCCTCCCTCTCACATCATACTTCTCCAAACTCTGGTACCACCTGCTTCCTGAACAGTTCCCAAGGGGCTGCCTGCTTTGGTGACAATGACATCACATTATCTCGCCCAGACAGAAATCATTCACGTAGACCTCCTTTGATAACCGCAAAGGATATTATGGCAGCAACTATGAGTCCAATTCCTAATATAATCCATGCTCCTATGTGTTTTAAAAAATCCAAAAGCCAATTGCCTACATCAGCAAGGCCTTCTTCTGCTATTTCTACTGCGGTTGTAGCAACGGTTTTAACAGTTTGAAGGACAACTTTTCCAATTTTTTCGTACCACACACATTCATGAAGATTAATTCCGTGACTACGTCATCCAACGTTCATACGGCGGAAAAACAAGTTCCGTTATTATAGATTCTGTTTGGACCAAGCCAATCAAAACCTATAATTTCTTTTCCCTCGCATAAGCTGTTTCTAAAGGCATGTCCTTCAATTTTTTGTATTAAAGAATCTGGTAATTTGGGGAGAAATTTAAGTCCATACGTTTTGATCAGTCCGTAATCTTTTTCCCATTGTTTGCAATCTTGTCTATCGGATCGAGAGCTTCGTATCCATCTTCTACTCCTATATTTAGTCCATACTGCTTCTTCGATGCCGGAATAACTTTTATCAGCATATTTGTCACTACAAAAGTCTTTCCATCCGGGTACCTGTCCATATGGTTGTCTTGCGAGTTGTATCGCGCATGTTTTTTCATTTTTAGTGCAGACCATTGACCATGGTCTGGGGTTAGCATATTTGTAAATTCTCTGTGAGGGCTAAGTGTCCTTTTCCTTGCAATACACTGTTACCACATAATGGTAATTCACCCAACATTTTATTGATTTGTTCAAACAAGGTATTACAAATTGTTTCATTTCAAACGAATCGAATCCCCACTAGGTTCGGCTCTCATCTTATGTGCACTTCTTTCCATCCCTGGAATATTCCTTTGAGCGTTTTGTTTGTTTGTTGGCTTGTACAATTTTGTATCCAACGGGGTAAAATGGTTCCCTGGATTTCTTCTAAGGGACATCTTGGTGAAGCTCCTACTTGCCAGTCTTACAAATGAAACTTTTCCTAACAAGACTGGAGACTATTGACATTTCGGATTATTAGCATTTTTCATTCTCTAATCCCAATTACATGTCTAGAAGTGCACAAAAAACATTAATCAAATCCCCCTTCAACCTGTGTCAAACTAGTTTCCTCCAAGTTCCAGCATGCCACCTTTTGTATCTTTGGAGTCATATTAAAAAAAAAAGACCTAATTACTCACACCATCTATCATTTATTTAAAATTTTCTCCATAAAGAATATGGCTGCCTCTCCTCTCAGGCATCATGTCTTTGGAGTGGGTGTCTTTATTGAGATAAATGCTCCTGTGCTAAGTCTTCACACACACACACACACACACACACACACACACACACACACACACACACACACACACACACACACACACACACCCTCAAATCCAGGACTCGGGGCTCCATTCCAACATTGGCCCTGGGCCACGTACAATTCATCTTGGAAATGTCACCTTGATAAGTACTGTGATGTTCAATCAAATTCATTACACAGTGGGGCCTTTGTGGGGACATTTGATGCTATTAATAAAGGAATTGGTGGGGGGGGGGGGTTGTAGTATTGTAAACTCCATACTGTACTGTACTGTGTATTATTAATTCTTCTAGAATTTCTGGATTGTGGACTTGATAAGACTTAAGACAGAGTGAGTAATAGTGTGATACCTTTCCCGTTCTGTACTATCTTAATAACGCCCTCAACTGTTGTTCGCTCAACCCGAACATTAGGTTTGCTTGGTGCTGTATTGATCGTCAGAGAGTCCCCCCCCCCCCTCACCCTCCTGCCCCTCTCGTTGTTGCTTGAAGTGGACTGTACTGCAGTAGACTGTGAGGATTTCTAATGCTTTGCTTCTCTCGTGCGGTAACTAAGGTAATCAAATTATATACCACGGCAAACATTTTTTGAGGGTGGCAGGTAGGCCTACAATATTGGATCTCATTCATTCCATTGTGCAGGTGGAAGAGAAGAAGGGAAATTAGAGCACAGATATTAAGAGTAGCTGGCAACATGACAATTGAAAGACACAAAAAGGATATGGAACAGATTGTGTAAAACGATGGATGGGAAGGTGGGGGGGAAGGGAAAAGTGGGTTGTGGGGGTCATTACAGAGGACAATAGATGAGAATGCTGTGCAGTAATTATCTTGAAATAGTAATACAGTTCAGAGTGCCTCGTGGGCCCTTTGGTAGAGAGCTAATGTGCTTGTTCTCCGATTGTCCTCCCCACCTGACTGCACTGATGTCCACTGTGTGTAGATAGATATATAGGTGGTGGTGGTGGGGGGTCTAGTTTCCTGATTGCTGCAGTCCTCTAATTGTCTCTCAAGTAGATGTTATGCTGGAGGAGGAAAAACAATAAGGAGACTAAGATGGATCAGTGAAGATTAGTTTTGCCTGTGTGTGCTATAATTCATTTTTACTGTATTTATTGGCTTCTATTTAGATTGTGTATCATTTGTTGAGTCGCCAATGAATTGTGTGTCCACCATAGGCTCCAGCAATACTGTTGTACCTTTATCTTGTCGTTTCAAAGAAAACCAATTCAAATGGCAAAAGGCTCCAACTCTTAGCACAAATATCCAGGCTGATAGAAATGATTTAAATCATGTAAAGTAAACCAATTATGGTACCACAGTTTTTTTTTTGTTTTTTTTTTTGTGGAATTAAGTCACAAACATTATTTACAAAATGTTCTATATCGCACCACTACTCTAAACACAGCATTCTGATTAATCTGTTTATGCATGTGAAAATAAGCAGCAAACTCCACACGTTTGTATTCATCTCGAGCGGTGGCCATTTTGACACTTGCTTTTGACAGAAAAATGACAGTACAGTTGCTTTCCACTCAGCTTGCGAATGTCACATGACAGAACTCAGAAAACAGGTGAGCTGTGATTGGTTTTTCTCTAAATCCAGAGCAACTGTGATGTCATTTTCAGTCAATTGCAAGTAGCAAAATGGCCGCCACCTGAGATGGATACAATTGAGTGGATTTTGCCGCTTATTTATATTCCACAAACGCAATATTAATTAGAATGCCGTGTTTGCACTCACGTTGGTGCATACTAGATATTATTGTAAAGAATTTTTTTTCTACTT